AAAACGTGAAGATGCGAGAGATTAGGCTTTCTACCTTTATACAATTCGTACGGAGTAGCGTTAAGTGTAGGTCTTATAATCGCACGATTGAGAATATAAGCACTAGTACTCACCGCATCCGCCCAAAAGTACTTAGGTATGTTAGCCTCACTAAGCATAGTTCTCGCCATCTCTTTGAGAGATCGGTTTTTCCGCTCAACAACGCCATTCTGTTGAGGCGTTCTTGGGGCTGAGAAATTATGTGCAATGCCTAGTTCATCACAGTAGGTATCAAACCCACTTTGATCAAATTCTCCCCCATGATCACTTCTTACGGCCATAATGCTACAACCTTTTCATTTTGAACCTTCTTAGTGAATTTGCGAAAAGATGAAGGTGCATTACTCTTATGAGAAAGAAATAAGGTCCATGTATAACGAGAGTAGTCATCAACAATAACCAAGGCATAGTAATTACCACCTAAACTCATAGTTCGAGAAGGTCCAAAGAGATCAATGTGCAAAAGCTGCAATGGTCTAGAAGTAGAAACAACTTTCTTTGATTTGAAAGAGGTTTTTACTTGTTTACCCTTTTGACACGAATCACAAATTCCCTTTTCAAATTTGAGTTTAGGAACACCAATTACTAGGTCTTTTAAAACTAATTTATTAATTAGTTTCATATTGGTATGACCAATCCTTTTATGCCATAGCCACATTTCTTCCTCTCTAGTCATAAGACAATGAGCAAAGTAAGAAGAAGTACTATCTAGGTTGATCATATAAATATTATGAATTCGATCGCTGGTAAGGATAATTTTCTTATCACAAAGGCGTTCAACCAGACAATGACTAGATATAAAAGTGACACGATTACCTTTGTCACATAACTGACTAATACTAAGCAAATTATTCTTGAGACCTTTGACCAACAACACGTTATCAATTCTGGATTCTTTGTCTTTGCCAAGAGTTCTGGTTCCGATAATCTTTCCTTTGCTGTTGTCACCAAAAATAACATTCCCACCATCGAGAGATTTAAGAAAAATAAATTTGGATGCATCTCCGGTCATGTGCTTGGAGCATCCGCTTGATGCCTTCAAGCACACCTGAAATATTTATTTAATTGGGGTTTTAGGTAGCCAAACCATCTTGGGTCCTTGAGAGTTAGTTCTAGCATTATAAACATCAATCTGTGCCCTTTTTCTATTCTTAGCTATCATTCTAAGTTTTCTAAAACATACAGGTACAATGTGCCCAACAACATCACAAAAATGGCAAATAACCCTAGGATCATACATATATCTATATGGACTACGTGACTTTCTATGTGTACTAAGATAATTAGATTTTCTAGGTGCATTCCTAAAATTCTCATAATTTCTAGGTTCTCTAGAAAACCTATGAACACCATGATTCCTATATTGACTAGATTTTCTCATCCTATAATTAGTGGGGGTATTGACTATTCTATATTGAGTCATCTTAGAGTTACTATTATATTTTTGGTATGAATTATTCCTAGCCTTAGTTCTATCCAAAGGTCTTTCTCCTTCTTTTACAAAGTTAACTTTCTTTGGTCCTTTAGATTGATAACCTAAGCCATTTTTATTAAATTGACCTTGTTGAACTATAAAGTGCATGTCTTTACTAGCCTTATTATATTTTCCTAGATGCTCATGCAAGCTAGCTATTTCCTTTTCATGAATTTTACATTGTGCACAAGGTGAATCAACACTAACTTTGCCAAGTTTCTTATTCTCCAATTTTAATAATTCCATCTCTTTATTAAGTTCGATTATTTTAGCTTCAAGAGAGGTGACATTTTCCTTGGCAAATTTAGCTTCTTTGGTGGAATTGATAAATTCACCATAAAGATCACTAAATGCACTATGTAACTCATCCAATGAAAAACAATCATCAGAAGTAGATAAAGGA